TTCTAAGAATTCTTTCATAATTAGTAACCACTGATACTGTATCCACTGTGTTTGAATGGCTTACATTCCTTGTAATATGTTTGCATTGATACAATATATTTGATAATATATAGGTTTTTAGCAGTTTGTCATCATCTATTAGAACCATACAAATCATCATTCACTCTAAACACGCCTGCTAATTTATGTGATAATTTTCTCATTAAAATGCAAAGTAAAATTTCAGAAATGTTGAACTCTGCAGAGGAAAAGGAAAGTAAATTGCTAATTCTATGTAAAATGTCTGAGAGAATAGGTTGTAATTAACCCCAGCTGATATTGTGACTTCTCTTTAACCCAACAGCAATGTCACTAAACACATGGCCAAATCATTTAGTTTAATACAAGCTTAACGAAAGCATTGCATTATACATCGTTTCACTAGATTACTATTCATTTTCTCTACATAAATTAACACCTTAGACATTACCTATGATATCATTTCTAATTTTTAAAGTTTAATGGCAGTTCACACAATATACTAAAATACAAACTAGAGCTGAAAAGAATTGCCAAGCACCACTTCCTTTCAAATCTAGTATAAAGCTTTTTTTTTTATTACTTCAAGGGGTGTGTTCACATTTCATGATTTCATACATAACAAAAAAAGTTAATGTAATTAAATCTTGGAACTGAGAACTTACTATAATGACATTTATATGTGAAGGCTACGTTTGTGAAACAAGCAAAGTATATTTTTGTTATATAGCACTCAGACTGCAACCTCAAAGGTGCAAAAAATGTTCCCAAAATACCTTTATTGGCAGCTTTACTGAATGGTCTTGTGCCAGCCTTTAGATTCTGAAATCTGTGCATAGCTTGGGGAGTGGAGGGGTTTGAACTTCAACTCACAGCAGCCCTTAACAATGTACAGACATACATTGACAACAATGAGACTACAGGGATGCTGTAGTTCTCATAGTCCCACAGAAGGGACAGATACAATAGATTGACAATGCTGCTGCTTTTTGTGAGGCAATGACCTGTCAGCTTGCAACAGAAGGCCTACACAATTCATTGCAAGATTATTTAAAAAAGTAATACCTTAACTAGTTACCGACCGCCGATAGCTGAATGACGGCTGCACTGCGGCCGGCCAGTTCTGGGAGGCTGTCATATGACGTCCTCCCAGAACACGCTCTCCTGCGCTCCCCCCGGGAGCGTGAACCCAGCGATCTCCATGATCACTGTGTCCTACGGACACAACTGATCATGTGATGTGGTAAAAGGCCAATCACTGCGGCCTTTTACCACATGATCAGCCGTGTCCAATGACACGCTGATCACCGGGAAATGCAATTGACGTTTCTCGGCTGCACTTTCCTCACACTGTCAGCGCGTGAGGAAAGTACTGCCGAGAACTGGCAGTTGTCAGAGCAGGGATCAGCACCAATCATCAGGGCACTGATGATCAGTGCCCTGATGATCGGTGCCTATTAGTGCCACCCACCAGTTCCGGCCACCTGTGCCCAGCAGTGCCACACACCTGTGCCCACCAATGCCACCCACCAGTGTCCATCAGTGCAGCCCAGCAGTGCCACCAGTCAGTGCCCAGCAGTGCCACCAGTCAGTGCCCAGAAGTTGTGCCGGTCAGTGCCCAGTCAGTGCTGACTATCAGTACCCATCATCAATGCCAGCTCATCAGTGCCCCCTATCAGTGCCGCCTATCAGTGCCCATCAGTGCTGCCTATCAGTGCCGCCTATCAGTGCAGCCTCATCAACGCACATCAGTGAAGGAGAAAAATTACCTGTTTGCAAAATTGTATAATAGGAACAAAGAAACTTTTTTTTTTCAATTTTTTGCTTTTTTTTGTTTATAGCACAAAAAGTAAAAACACCCAGTGGCAAGTAAATACCACCAAAAGCAAAGCTCTATTTGTGAGAGAAAAAAATTAATATGGGTACAATGTTGCATGACTGCACAATTGTCATTCAAAGTGCGACAGCGCTGAAAGCTGAAAATTGGCCTGGTAAGGAAGCCCCTTAACATATAATGTGCCCATCAGAGTGCCCCTAACATAAAGTGTCCATCAGCGTGCCCCTTAGTATAAATCAAGGGGCATGCTGAATGGCATTTTATGTTAAGGGGGCAGTCTGATGGGCACACATGATGTAAAGGGCACGCTGTTGGGGAAATATGATGTAAAAGGGCACTTTGATAGGGACACCTGATGTAAAGGGGCACTCTGCCCCCTTACATCAGGTATTCCCATCAGAGTACCCCCTTACATCAGGTGTCTCCATCAGAGTGTCCACTTACATCAGGTTTCTGCAGCATAAGGCCCCCGTACAGTGGGGATCGAAAGTTTGGGCACCCCAGCTAAAAATTTGTATTAATGTGCATAAAGAAGCCAAGGAAAGATGGAAAAATCTCCAAAAGGCATCAAATTACAGATTAGACATTCTTATAATATGTCAACAAAAGTTAGATTTTATTTCCATCATTTACACTTTCAAAATAACAGAAAACAAAAAAATGGTGTCTGCAAAAATTTGGGCACCCTGCAGAGTTAATATCTTGTACTGCCCCCTTTGGCAAGTATCACAGCTTGTAAACACTTTTTGTAGCCAGCCAAGAGTCTTTCAATTCTTGTGTGAGGTATCTTTGCCCATTCTTCCTTACAAAAGTCTTGCAGTTCTTTGAGATTTCTGGGTTGTCTGTCACGCACTGCTCTTTTAAGGCCTATCCATAGATTTTCAATTATGTTGAGGTCAGGAGATTGTGAAGGCCATGGCAAAACCTTCAGTTTACGCCCCTTGATGTAATCCCCCGTGGATTTTTGAGGTGTGTTTAGGATCATTATCTATTTGTAGAAGCCATCCTCTCTTTAACTTCACCTTTTTCACAGATGGCATCAAGTTACCATCCAAAATTTGCTGAAATGTTATTGAATCCATTTTTCCTTCTACTCGTGAAATGTTCCCTGTGCCACTGGCTGCAACACAACCCCAAAGCATGATTGATCCAACCCCATGCTTAACAGTTGGACAGAGGTTCTTTTCATTAAATTCTGTGCCCCTTCTTCTCCAAACGTACCTTTGCTCATTCAAGCCAAAAAGTTCAATTTTAACCTCATCGGTCCACAGAACTTGTTTCCAAAATGCATCAGGCTTGTCTATATGTTCATTTGCAAAGTTCAAACGATGATTTTTGTGGTGAGGACATAGAAGAGGTTTTCTTCTGATGACTCTTCCATGAAGACCATATTTGTACAAGTATCTCTTTATTGTGGAATAGTGTACCACAACTCCAGTGTCTGCCAGATCTTTCTGGAGGGATCGTGCAGTCAAACGTGGGTTTTGAATTGTTTTTCTCACAATCCTGCGAGCTGTTCTGTCTGATATTTTTCTTGGTCTTCCAGATCTTGCTTTAACTTCCACTGTTCCTGATGACTGCCATTTCTTAATTACATTCCGAACAGAGGATATTGACATCTGAAAACGCTTTGCTATCTTCCTATAGCCTTCTCCAGCTTTGTGAGCATCAACTATTTTCAGTTTCAGTTTTCTAGACAACTGCTTAGAAGAACCCATGGTGCTGATTGTTGGGGCAAGGTCAGATGAGTCTGGGCATTTAAAACCTTTGAGATTGACATAACCTGGTCTGCCCAGACAATGATTGAGAACAATCCATGACACTGGCAGGTCTCAGCTTTGCAAAGGGGGCAGTGCATGCTATAAATTCTGCAGGGTGCCCAAACTTTTGCAGACGCCATTTTTTTGTTTTCTGCTATTTTGAAAGTGTAAATGTGGGAAATAAAATCTAACTTTTGTTGACATATTATAAGAATGTCTAATCTGTAATTTGATGCCTTTTGGAGATTTTTCCATCTTTCCTTGGCTTCTTTATGCACATTAATACAAATTTTTAGCTGGGGTGCCCAAACTTTCGATCCCCACTGTACATCTAGTGTCTCCCATCAGTGTGCTCCCTTACATCAGTTGTCCCCTTCAGAGTGCCCCATTATATAAGGTTCCCACATCACAGTTACCGCTTATATAGGGTGTTTCCATCAAAATGCCCCTTTACATTAGGTGTTGCCATCAGAGAGCTCCATTACTTCAGGTGCTCGCATCACAGCGCCACCTTATATCAGGTATTCCCTTTCATTGCCCTGTCACCTTTGTCATTAATACAGTGTACAAATTTTTTGATCACTGTATTCAGATAGCTAACCCACACAAAACTGAAGGGTTAGCAAGATCAGGCCTGATCTCTGCTAGCACTAGCAGATAATTTTTTTTGTAGCTGTTCAAGTAGTCCCTGACAGCCAGGTGTTCTTCCCGTGAGTCGCACTAGGTACCTATAAATTAAGTTGCCAAAATGTCCAGTGAAAGCTACGCTAGTGATGAAGCCCACAGGATCCTGAGTATGTCAGATGAGAGCGAAGGGGAAGCCTCACTGAGAAAATCAGGCTCAGAATATGAAACTGTAGAAAGCAGCAGCACCCTGACGAATAGCTCAGGCGATTGAGTAGAGGTCCCTGTTAAGGTCAGGTGTGCCTGACCCTGTTCCCAGGTTGCTGAGGTGTTAGAATTGCATGATGATTCTCATATGCAGCAGAGTGACATGGTGACTCCCATTAGTGCAGTACAAGCTGGTATGGTGGCTAACACAAGTAGTGTCCCCCAACCACCAAGAATTCGCACACAGGCCCGTAGAGCCCATAGTGTCCTTTCGAATGTGCTTGCAAATCCTGATTGGCAGTCCACAAATTCTGCAGCACCAGTACTTCCCCCATTTACTGCCCAACCCGGAATTCAGGTGGAAACAGCAAATGTAACTACTCCCCTTGATTTTTGTGAGCTGTTTTTTCACAGATTATTTGTAGAGATGAGCGAAGTATTCAAAAATTAGATTCGACTGATTCGGCGAATTCGTGGAAAAATTTTGATTCGAGTCGAATATATTCGCTGTGAATTTAACTTAAAAAAGGGTGTTTCTAGGCTTCAGAGAGACTTAATATTAGTGCTGAACACTGTACCTTTAATTTAAATGCCCTTGGAGTCTGCTGGGGAAGAGAAATAATACTGTCAGGCAGTATGACATGCAGATGAGTGCCGTCGATCTTAGAATCACCGCACACTTCACTCATTTGGGCAGTCACGGGGCCAAAACCAGAGTGTGGAGCCACAGTGTGGCGGTGGAGGCAGCAGCAATGGGAGGCCATACAGCACCCTATGACAAAAATGGAAACCACCAGCAGTGTGAGGAGACCTGAAAGTGGCACATGGCAGAGTGTGGCGATAGAGACAGCAGCAATGGGAGGCCGTACAGGGACCCATGACACACTCTGGACCTGGCAGCAGCATGAGGAGGCGGTACAGGGGCCCATGGCAGATTACGGGCCTGGCAGCAGCATGAGGAGTCGGTACGGGGGCCCATGGCAGATTACGGGCCTGGCAGCAGCAATGGGAGGCCGTACAGGGACCCATGACACACACTCTGGACCTGGCAGCAGCATGGGGAGGCGCGGTACAGGGGCCCATGACAGATTACGGGCCTGGCAGCAGCATGAGGAGTCGGTACGGGGGCCCATGACACACTCTGGACCTGGCAGCAGCATGAGGAGGCGGTACAGGGGCGCATGACAGATTACGAGCCTGGCAGCAGCAACTTGGACAGGAGGACGTTCAGCTTCTGCAAAATAAATAAAGATTCTGCACCGTCTGGTGCGTGCTCGCAAACTGTTGTCTCTTGGAAACGGATTCCAGGAAAGACTGCTGACGGAATCCGTGAAGAGGAGTAGCAGGAGAAGGAGCATCTGAACGAGCGGAATATGCCAACAAGCGACAACAGGGGCCCATGACAGATTACGGGCCTGGCAGCAGCATGAGGAGTCGGTACGGGGGCCCCATGGCAGATTAGGGGCCTGGCAGCAGCTATGGGAGGCCCGTAATCTGCCAGCACCCTATGACAAAAAATGGAACCCACCAGCAGTGTGAGGAGACCTGAAAGTGGCACATGGCAGAGTGTGGCGATGGAGACAGCAGCAATGGGAGGCCGTACAGGGACCCATGAGAGACTCTGGACCTGGCAGCAGCATGAGGAGGCGGTATAGGGGCCCATGGCAGATTAGGGGGGCCTGGCAGCAGCTATGGGAGGCCCGTAATCTGCCAGCACCCTATGACAAAAAATGGAATACACCAGCAGTGTGAGGAGACCTGAAAGTGGCACATGGCAGAGTGTGGCGATGGAGACAGCAGCAATGGGAGGCCGTACAGGGACCCATGAGAGACTCTGGACTTGGCAGCAGCATGAGGAGGCGGTATAGGGGCCCATGGCAGATTAGGGGCCTGGCAGCAGCTATGGGGAGGCCCATAATCTGCCAGCACCCTATGACAAAAAATGTAACACACCAGCAGTGTGAGGAGACCTGAAAGTGGCACATGTTTGGGGCATGATTCATGGCGGATTTAGTCAGTTGTGTCAGGAACTGGTGGTTTGAAATCCAGACTAATCCACGCCTGATTCATTTTCACAAACGTCAGTCTCTCCACACTTTGGGTGGACAGTCGTGTCCTCCGCGGAGTTACAATACCTCCTGCCGCACTAAACACGCGCTCCGATGCCACGCTACTGGCCGGGCATGACAGCCTTTCAAGGGCAAATTCAGCTAGTTGGGGCCAAAGGTCAAGTTTCGTTGACCAGTAGTCAAGGGGATTGTCTACCTCGGTTGGCAGGGTGCTGTCCAAGTAGGCCCAAGCCTGTGTTGTTTGAGGTCCTGCTCCAGGTCCACCTGATGCTGCTGCTGCTGCTGCTGCTGCTGCTGCTGCGGCTGGTTAGTAGTTTCCCTCACTGCGCTGGTGAAGAAAGCTACTCATCATCGACTGAGGCAGCCGCTGCTGGTGGAGCTGCCACTGCTTCTACCACCCCCACCCCTCCCCTGCTGCCATGGCAGCGGAACGCGAGCGCACAGGGCCCACAGTGTCTGAGGATGGACGTTGGCGCAGACAGGCAGAGACCAGCTGACTACATAGGTGGTTTTTTATAGTACGTTATTTTGGCCTCCCTCTCAGCAGGTGTGAAAAAGGCCACCATTTTTTGAACGGTAGCGAGGGTCCAACAGGTGGACAGCCAAAAGTCATCCCTCTGTCTGATGGTTATTATTCGGCTGTCGCTACGCAAGCAACCGAGCATGCTATGGGCCATTTGTGCCAAGGAATGCGAGGGACTCCCTGCCTCCATCTCCACAGCATACTGCCACGGTGCGTCTGGGTCCTCTGTCTCCTCCTCCTCCTCCTCTACCAGATGCTCCTGCTCCTCCACTCCTGTCCGCTGAGTGGAAAAACCACCCATTTCACTCAATAATTCCTGAGCACCAATGTCCTCCTCTACCTCCTCCTCTTCTCCCTGTCCTGCCCCCACAGGGGTCATGTGGCGTTGAGATCTGTGCGCCACGTCTACCGCACCCTGACCAGCCATTGTTAACAGCATTTGTTCCAGGACGTGCAACAGAGGAATGACGTCGTTCATCCCATAGTCCTGCCGACTCACGAATAGCGTGGCCTCCTCAAAGGGCCTGAGCAAGGCGCAGGTGTCACGCATGAGCTGCCAATGGCTGACATCTAAGTTACACAGGGAGTACCTTTATCCGCTTTTAACATCAGGAAATCTGTGATGGCCTTTCGCTGTTCGTAAAGGCGGTCTAACATATGTAGGGTTGAATTCCACCTTGTTGCAACGTCACAGCATGAGGAGTCGGTACGGGGGCCCATGGCAGATTACGTGCCTGGCAGCAGCAATGGGAGGCCCGTAATCTGCCAGCACCCTATGTCAAAAAATTGAACACACCAGCAGTGTGAGGAGACCTGAAAGTGGCACATGGCAGAGTGTGGCGATGGAGACAGCAGCAATGGGAGGCCGTACAGGGACCCATGAGAGACTCTGGACCTGGCAGCAGCATGAGGAGGCGGTATATAGGGGCCTATGGCAGATTAGGGGCCTGGCAGCAGCTATAGGAGGCCCGTAATCTGCCAGCACCCCTATGTCAAAAAATTCTACACACCAGCAGTGTGTGAGGAGACCTGAAAGTGGGCACATGGCAGAGTGTGGCGATGGAGACAGCAGGAATGGGAGGCCGTACAGGGACCCATGAGAGACTCTGGACCTGGCAGCAGCATGAGGAGGCGGTATATAGGGGCCTATGGCAGATTAGGGGCCTGGCAGCAGCTATGGGAGGCCCGTAATCTGCCAGCACCCTATGTCAAAAAATTCTACACACCAGCAGTGTGAGGAGACCTGAAAGTGGCACATGGCAGAGTGTGGCGATGGAGACAGCAGGAATGGGAGGCCGTACAGGGACCCATGAGAGACTCTGGACCTGGCAGCAGCATGAGGAGGCGGTATATAGGGGCCTATGGCAGATTAGGGGCCTGGCAGCAGCTATGGGAGGCCCGTAATCTGCCAGCACCCTATGTCAAAAAATTCTACACACCAGCAGTGTGAGGAGACCTGAAAGTGGCACATGGCAGAGTGTGGCGATGGAGACAGCAGCAATGGGAGGCCGTACAGGGACCCATGAGAGACTCTGGACCTGGCAGCAGCATGAGGAGGCGGTATATAGGGGCCTATGGCAGATTAGGGGCCTGGCAGCAGCTATAGGAGGCCCGTAATCTGCCAACACCCTATGTCAAAAAATTTCTACACACCAGCAGTGTGTGAGGAGACCTGAAAGTGGCACATGGCAGAGTGTGGCGATGGAGACAGCAGCAATGGGAGGCCGTACAGGGACCCATGAGAGACTCTGGACCTGGCAGCAGCATGAGGAGGCGGTATATAGGGGCCTATGGCAGATTAGGGGCCTGGCAGCAGCAATGGGAGGCCCGTAATCTGCCAGCACCCTATGTCAAAAAATTCTACACACCAGCAGTGTGTGAGGAGACCTGAAAGTGGCACATGGCAGAGTGTGGCGATGGAGACAGCAGCAATGGGAGGCCGTACAGGGACCCATGAGAGACTCTGGACCTGGCAGCAGCATGAGGAGGCGGTATATAGGGGCCTATGGCAGATTAGGGGCCTGGCAGCAGCTATGGGAGGCCCGTAATCTGCCAGCACCCTATGTCAAAAAATTCTACACACCAGCAGTGTGTGAGGAGACCTGAAAGTGGCACATGGCAGAGTGTGGCGATGGAGACAGCAGCAATGGGAGGCCGTACAGGGACCCATGAGAGACTCTGGACCTGGCAGCAGCATGAGGAGGCGGTATATAGGGGCCTATGGCAGATTAGGGGCCTGGCAGCAGCTATAGGAGGCCCATAATCTGCCAGCACCCTATGTCAAAAAATTCAACACACCAGCAGTGTGAGGAGACCTGAAAGTGGCACATGGCATGAATACGCTGTAGTCCCAACATGGGCCCCCTGGCCACGCTTGACTTTCTGGCCACATAGTCGACATACGGCTACGTTTACTTCCTCGGGCGGCTTGACGAAAAATTGCCACACCGCCGAGTAGGAAACTTTGCCCCCGATACTCCTCACTGGCTGACTGCTGCTTCCTCCGTGCACACCGGCACCACTACTGGCCGTGGTGGTAGGCTGCAGTGGAGCTGGTGCTCTACTCCGTGGCCGTTTGGCTCCACTGACACTGCTTCCACTGACACTGCTGCGACCCTGCTGCTGTCTCCTGGGCAACCCACCGACTGTTTCGCTCACTGCCAAGCTGCCACCCTCTTCTCCTGATGATGCGGAAGAAATTGCCTGATGACGACGAGGCTGCCAAGTGCGATCAACCTCCTCATCATCAAGTAGGGTCTCCGCCTCACTACTAGCCCCCTCGGCTGCGTCTGGGTCAGGAGACAGACCTGTCTCTAGACCGGCTACCGGGCCACTCTCCTCGCCACTACTTCTTTTGCCTGGCTGCTGAAAAGGCAGATGTCTCCCCCCGTTCCTGACCGCCCTCTGTTAGCTCTTCCTCACTGTACAGTGGGGCTGAGCCCACAGCATGCGATACTTCGCTTGGTGAGGGAACACCAAAGGACAGGGGCAGGTAGAGGACACGTGATTTCAGTGGGCTTGGTCCCGGGCCATGCCAACTAACGGTTGTGTCTGACGTACCCACCGACCGTTGGCTGTAGGTGTCAGAGGTGACCTGGGAAGAGGAAGACGACCGAGCCAACCAATCGATGACGGCAGGGTTGTCGGTGGAGACACGACCGCTGGATGACACCGGGAGCACTGGCCTCTGGCTGCGAATAGTGCTGCCTCGACCCCTTCCTCTGCTGCCACGTCTGCTCGCTCCTAAAACATTGCCTCCTCTGCCACTCCTCTGCATGTTGTCTGACATACTCTTTAATTAAACGATTATGTGTCCCTGAGTAACAATTCTGTGTCCCTGAGTAACAATTCTGTGTCTGTGCGAGTAACAATTCTGTGGCCCTAAGTAACAGTTCTGTGGCCCTCAGTAACAATTCTGTGTCTGTGCGAGTAACAATTCTGTGTCTGTGCGAGTAACAATTCTGTGGCCCTAAGTAACAGTTCTGTGGCCCTCAGTAACAATTCTGTGTCTGTGCGAGTAACAATTCTGTGTCTGTGCGAGTAACAATTCTGTGGCCCTAAGTAACGGTTCTGTGGCCCTCAGTAACAGTT